CTGTAGGCGAGTTTTTCTGTGTAATAAATCAAAATATAAAATTGGGTATTGTTCTTTTGGAATTAAATAAATGAAATTAATGACCTCATAATGAGACAATAAATTTAATATTTACGTTATATGAAGTAGCTGTTGTAACTACAACAGTTTGATTTGGTTCCCTTACGAGAAACTACTTCTAATTTTAATTATCAAATGAAAAAAAACCATCTTTCTTGTGGTTACAGATAATGAAACGGTGCATTCTTCTTTGATGTTCCTGCCACTGTTTCTGTCTTTTGGCGAGTCTGGAGGCCACCGTCTCGTTGTCTGTAATGATGAATGAAGATGATAACTATAAAACTTATTCAAACATAGTAGGAATTGAAAAATATTTAACCTTTTATAGTAGTCAGTGGCGTAGCGCAGAATGTGTATGCTCTCCCTGTAAATTTTACCGTCGGGCCCCTTCATATCCCATTTATTATAGCGCTATGCCCCCCCCCCCCGAATAAAAAAAAATCAGGAAAGTTTTACAAGGTCATAGAAATAATCAAGCCAAGCCTAACATACATCCCCAAAACAATTAGCCCTTAAAAAGCTTAAAAAAGACACCATTATTAAAGAAGCGGACAAATGTAAAGGTTTAGTACTTATGAGCAGAAATATTTAAGAACAAGAAATCTTTGGTCACCTTAAAGACGAAAATATATTCCAAATCCAAATATTTAACAGTGACCACACCATAAGAATTGAGAAGAAAGCTAAAGAAATCATCATTGAACTTGCAAACACCCAAGAAGCTTTTAGATGAACTTAAACCCTCTAATCGCTGCATCCCAGAATTATATGGTTTACCAAAAGAACATAAACTGGATATGACACTGAGACCCATACTCTTAGCATATGGCAGTACCACTGAAAGTCTGCCTTAACTTATGCATGCAATTTTAGTGTTGTTACTTAATCACGTTCCAGCACGCTTAAATAATACCTAAGACCTGCTATTTCGAATCAAGGATCTAACTTCACACGGTGACAAACGCAACAATACTATTTGTATTGGACGTCATAATCCTCTACCCAGCTATACAGACAGAAGATGGCGTCAATGTAGTGTGTGAATTCATGCCGAATCACGTAAACAACTTGGAGAGGCACGGGTTGACAATAAGACGCTGTCGGAGAAATCTTACATTTCATTCTTCATAATGGATATTACAGTTTTGACAACAAATTATATTTTCAACTAAGTGGTGTCGGTTTATGCGCGTTTTTGAAACAACGGCAGTTGATAAGTGGCGTCAAAATACCAACACCGACCTGATCTCTGGCTTCGATACATCGATGAACTTTAATCTAATTTTTGGACTTTCTAAATTCTATATACCCCAACATCCAGTTCACCCCGAATGACAAGAAGAACATAGATTTTTCTTGACGTTACCTTAAGGATCGATAACGGATAAAGATCAAAACATTTCTTACTAATATTGGCTTATTCCACTTATTTTTGCCTATCTTGATTTAAAATGTTTGTTTTGTGACTACATTATCTTATCAAAACCAAGAGGTGGAATAACATTTTTCTGTATAATAACATAGTCACACTAAAGTTATGTTCCTTTTTTGTGTTTTGAAGGGTGTATAATATTGTTTATAATATAACGTATCTTGCATTACGTATATTCATGTCTTCATAAAACAACAGGCGTGACCAACTGTTTTCTGAGTCATAGAAAGTGAATTCAGTGACGTTTAGTTCTTGAATGACACACCATTATTTGTGTGTCCAAAATCAACCTTAAGGTGGTATTCATGATGTGATTATATGTATCATGCAAATATCTATACGGAAAACTACTGCATTTTAAAGTCTTACAACTGTCTTATCGATTTTGTTACGACGTTTCTCACCGCTCCATAACACCAATTATGAATGCTTTGCTTAACTGTAACACTTTGACGAACTCTCTCTATCAAATGCTAAATGATACCTTTAAAGACAAATAACTCTGGAATATTTTAAACTTCGTCGACTGAAACATTTACCCTGACAGATTGAATATTAGTTATTGAGTCGTCAGCGCCAGTATCGTATCGGGAAAAACTGAACTGAATATATGAATGTATTTTTATTATCGAATGGCCTAGTTGTTTAGAATGCTTGGGTAGTCGATTAGTTAGCTGGAGCTGTTAACTGGTTGCTGTCATTCTATTCAGCAGTTCAGAAATATGTCTCAACCTTAAAAACTTTCATGGGTAGCCACAAGTAACATAACTTTTTAAGATTTCGCAAATGGCGTTGCAAACATGTGTTTGTTTATTGTTTTCAAGATCTTTCAAACTGTTGAGTAACCAGATTACCTCAAACTGGCCAAGTCTAATCGTTGAGTATTGATTAGTTTGAGTTAAGAAAAAACGAAAATTTCCTAACAGAAATTTAGTTTTTATAGGAAAGAAACTTTTCTAAACTGGGGTGTTCAGGGATATTAGTATCCCCCCTTCGCTCCGCTCGGGGTATTTTATTTGTTACATTCCCGAATTGTTAAATTTTAACTAAAGAGGTTGGTCATATGTTGTCTTCTGGCGATTTTAAAGTCTTGAGGTTGGAAAATAGAGATCACAGAGCCGTGACCAGGGGCCCCAGGGCAGAGAGAAGACCAAGGTCGATGACGTCATTGAGAAGAAGCAAGGCGACAAACATTCGACAAAACACATAATAACAAATTTCTCGTAATCAGAGTCACAGGGTGACTGGGATCTGTAAATCCAAGTGCCTAAGAATTTGTTGTGGGTTTGAGTTGAGTAAACTGAACAATCATGGGCGTCCACGAAGGGGGGGGGGGTTGTCTCCTGGAAAATGAGAAA